AGAAGGTCTGAAAGTAGTCAACTCCCTGCCGCTGACTGAAGCCACGAGCCACGTAACGCGCCTTGAAGACAGGCGGAGAACCCGGCGGCCGCTTCACCCTGAAAATCCACATGCCACTGACGATGTTCGCCCCAGGCGGGGGAACCTCGTCAACGTAGGTGCCTGTGGACTTCCAGGAAGCCATCTCTGCGTCCATAGCTGCCTGCCACTGAGAGGAGTAGGGACCCTCTATCGCCTCCGCGTAAGAGCGCGGAGTCGGGATGTCAAGTGCATCCGGGTCTCCCTCAGGGGTAAGCAGTACGGACACGAGATGAGGTGAAGCAGCAGCCAAACACTGGAACTCCTCCTGCCTGTCCTCAAGGACGTCCGTGCCAAGGGCACACTCACCCCCGACGGACGGAGGACAGACAGACTCAGACTCAGCAACAAGACTAGCAGCGTAGTCTAGACGACAGCGAGCAGCAAAGTCGACGAGCTCAGTAACTAGGGCAGACGCAGCAGTGGACTCAAAGGAAGGGTCAGTGACAACAGTAGCAAGGAGACGCGTGACAGTAGCACTGGCAGCACGAAGAGAGTCCGACTCCGGGTCAGGAAGAGCAGGAAGAGAGGACTCAGGAGGAGAAGGCAAAGGGGCACGCAGAGGAGCAGTGGACGGACGCAGAGACATCCGGTGCGTGCCAGGGACAGGAGGAGGACGCTGACGCGAACCACGACCACTAGTGCGAGCAGCACGGACAGGCGACGCAGGGCGAGACGCAGGCTCACGACGCTCAGCAAGACCTCCAGTAGGACCAGTGTAGGGAGAAGGAGCGGGCAGTGGGGAGGCCGGCTGTAACTGTAACTGTGACGGGACAGGCTGTGGACACTCTAAGGGAGGAGGAGGACCAGTAGAAGGCGGGAGACCAAGAACCTGCTGAAGGAGCGGAACGAAGTACGGCCTAGGCCGCGCGGCGACTCCAGACACAGCAGGGACAGCACCAGTACCCCCAGCGGCAGCACCAGCGCCAGCAGCACCTCCAGCTCCAGTACCTCCAGCAGCACCAGTAGCACCCCCAGCAGGACCGCCTCCAGGACCGACAGCAGTAGCCTCAGCGCCAACACCCTCAGCAGCTCCAGCTCCAGTCGTACCCGCAGGCCCAGCAGCTCCAGTACTCCCAGTACGAGCACCTCCGGGACCCGCGGCACCAGCACCCTCAGCAGCCGACGAACCTCCAGCTCCAGCAGCATGCCTCCAGCGCCGGGCAAACCACTCGCGCAGCTCCTGTGGAGAGAGTGGCTCCCGCCGAGACGAAGCACCCGGAGAACCTCCAGGCTCAGCACCGCCAGACGCCACACGAGCAGGCCCAGCTCCCTCAGGCTCCGCACCCCCAAGCTCAGCACCTCCAGGCGTGGCACCCCCAGGCTCAGCACCCCCAGGCGTAGCACCCCCAGGCTCAGCACCCCCAGGCTCAGTACCCCCAGCAGCAGCACCCCCAGGCTCAGCACCCCCAGGCTCAGGACCCTCTGTGATTAGCTCTGATACCATGAGAAGAAACGAGGAATGAAATGACTAAGGGAAAGTTGGGTACAAATGCAAACCCTAGGAAAACTGTACCCCATATGTGCTACCCCACTATAGCCTACAGTAGCTATGTCATATAAATCTGACAGGTAAATCATGACGGTTGGAACTCTCGATCCGAGGGTTAACATTTACCGACATCCATCGACATCCATTCGACGCTTCACTTCGGACACGCTCTAAAACCGACACCGATATTCTGTTTCGACTTACTGTACACCGTGTGGGCCTGAGTCCACCCCACCTTGAGCGATTGCTGCTCGGCTCTGTGGTATATTTTTGATACTATACGATTGTGTTTTGGAAACCTCAAAACCTTACACCACAACTCAAACTAATCAACCACATCCTTCATCCTTTTCATCCTACAGGCTTTGGAGACTGGAACCCCTGCTGTCACCGGGTCATACGCGAAGATGGACTTCATGGATCATGAAAACACGCTGTGGCGGTCTTACAACGCTGCTGCACCCGGGGATTTCGAATGCCTTGAAGGTGCAATCAAGGGATTCCAACGACAACAAGAGCATCCTCCGCGTGCCAAGGTTGCTTGGGAGACTGTTATTGAGGTGGACAAGGGTGTGGCGATTCCTCCGGATGACGATTTCACGCGGTACAGCAAATATCCGTCATACGCGCGCGCCACTCCCAGCTTTTACGGGGCTCCATGGTTCTCAGACGTGTCCGTTGACGGCGTCGACGACGACGGCGAGAAGATGGTGTGGCCTGCCAAGCTACTCATGATATTTACGCTGCATCGTACAGTCACTACGACGAGGAGAAACCCGACCACTAAAATACGGGTCTCATCGGAACAACACTATGTTGAACAAGTGGCATTTGTCCGCTACTACTGGAGGTATCCCCCCAGCGATACAACCGCGTTGACCCTCATGCAATGGTGGGAAGGTGGAAGGGGATATGGAATTGTTCATGTGGAAAGCTTGCTGAGGGTTCTGCACGTGGTACCTTATGTTCCGAAGACCCCATCAACCATCCAGAAATTCATATGGAATGAGTTCAAGCGGTGAAACCATTGTATATACTTGTTAATAGTTTGTGTTTCATCACTGTTATGTGCAATAGCGCATCTTCCCTGTTTTGCTTCCATTGCATCACGCTGTTGCCTAGTACGACCAATTGCCTAGTCATAGGAACTTGTTTGACCTCATTCGCCCAACTACGCAGCTCGTGGCGCTCGTTTGTACGTTTGCTAGCACGAATCTGCGCAAGGATAGACCATTACGCAACATGACACCCGTTTGGTTGTTTTTTTTACCTCCGTTTCTTCTTACTATTCCCTAGTACGACCAATTTCCTAGTCATAGGAACTTGTTTGACCTCATTCGCCCAACTACGCAGCTCGTGACGCTCGTTTGTGTGTTTGCTGGCACGAATCTGCGCAAGGATAGGCCAGTACGCAACATGACACCGTTTCAACGTTTGGTTGTTCTTTTTACGTCCGTTTGTTCACACCATCCCCTAATGTTACAATCCCAAGTGGGACTTAGTGAAGGATCGTTCAGGGTTGATCGCAGAGTAGTGTTGCAGCGGAAGTTTTGAATCTCATGTCAGAGTGAATGTAAATGACTGAGTTGATAAAAGCATGCATACATCGAGTTTATATAAGAGTAAGAGGAAGGCTCCACTCTGACCTATGTATTCTTCACCTGAAGGCTCCACTCCCCAGTACAATGAACTAGATCGTATCTGTATAGTATAAGGTGGTTTGCATTTGCTTGATTCACTAGTATGAGAATGTGCTTTGCTTCATTTTTTAAATATATGTTGACACAGTGTAACAAAACTGCAACCTCAATGTATTCAGACTTTGCCATCGCGCACGGCAAAGTCTCTACCAAGGCTGTGCCTCGCTGGCTCAATTTCACGAGGCATGGTTGGCATCTACCTCGATGACGTGGCAGAAACAATGGTTTTTCAAGGCAGCCGAGGCAACTAGGACTCTTATCTGCGAACCTGCCGAACCTGACAGCACGGCGGGAGCTTTAACCGGGCGTGGACCAAACCACCCAGTAACTGCGCCCTGGTGCACGTTCGCTTCCTTCTCCTCCATCCCGCCCTATTCCACCTCCTCAACTTTTCCCGTGCGATCGTCCTCGACATTTCAAACTGGTGTTTGAAATTTCAAACTTCAAACACCACCACCATTCAACCACTGCCAACTCCGTCACCTATCCCCCCGTTACCCGCCACACACACCGTTATAGGCTTCACTGGGGGCACTTTGCAGGCCCCCAGCCATTGCGATGCGTAGGCAAGGTAAGGCGTTTTCTCCCTGGCAGTGCGCCTGTTACCATTTCATATAAATAGGCGTTGTTGTTGGAGAGTTGCAAGCATCTTCTCTTCTCTTCCAACACTTAGTACTTATAGCTCCCATAATCTACTCATGGGCCGTGCTGGTTTCACTGTTCCTGCTAGCATGCATATGGCAGAACCGTTACGTGCTTCGTATCCACGCAAGAGCAAGGACAATCATACATTCTTCCCCGCCAACAAAGGTATGCGCTCTCTCTGTCTTTAGCTTTGGAAGGTGTTTTAGGTTGTATCACCATTTTGTTCTCACTACCTTTTTCCCGTTTGTTTCAGACGGTGACTCTCTTGACGCTGCCATGTGCGCGATCTGGCAAGCGCGGCACCAAACGTCAATGCGAACATGCCACCGGTCCCAAACGTGGGAGCAAGACGTCTGTTCCTTCTCAGGGTGCCGGGTCGGCGCCGACACACTTGCTGACTGCTGCCGTCGCGGGAAAGTCATCATATCACACCGCTTCAGATCCGACGGCTGCCGATCCTGCTCCTGCCGCTGCCGATCCTGCTCCTGCCGCTGCTGCTCCAACTCCTGCCGCTGCCGCTCCATCTGCTACCCATCCTGCTCCAACTCCTGCGGCGATCCCGGATGCTGTCGCCATGGACGTAGCTGTCCCAACTGCGGATGCAGAAGAGGAAGAGGAGACCGAGCTCTTTGGGGACGTTATTGCGCAACCTCTACAAGGGAACGGCGCTCGTGGTAAGTTTTTCCGCGCGTTCCGTTTGTGTTGAGTACTACCCCTGTTACTCACCTCCGTTTTCCATTCCCTGCAGGTCTCACCGTCTATGCCCGTACCTTGAAGCAGGCGGGCGTTAATCCTAGTCCAGAGGCCGATAAGTTTCATCGCGAGTCGCGTGAAAACCCGGTCAATCCGAGCCTTCGTGCGCAGGCTGCACTTGCTCACGAGTCTGTGCAGTTGCTGCAGTCCGACTGCAAGACGAAGGATGTTCAGATCCTGAAAGCACTTGGCATCGCCGGTTCTCTTGCCGACGCCGTGCTCCTGCAGAAGATTGTTAATCTGGATTTCGAGGTGGGTTCATTTCTGTCTTGTTTCGTACTCTGTTTACCCTGGTTCTTACCTGATGCGTGCTCCTGTACATATTTCAGAGAATGATGTCGAAAACCGTCAACGATTTCCTCTACGAAGGCGACCACATCAACATGTCGCCGAAGAGGAGTGATTTTGTTCGCCGCCTAGTAGGTAAGCAATCGATCTAGATTGCAGCCCGTGTTCTTGGTGCTGATGTTGCGATATGTGTTACTGATGCCCCCCGTGTTTGTACTTCGCACAGCACATTCAGGTTTCACGACAGGCAGCGACGAAGCTGTGAGGCTGGTCGTGCACATAAAGGACAAGGATATCGTAAAGAAAACGGAGAAGCGGTTCAACAACCGCATTGGCAAGATCTACGGTGGCTGCAGGAAGAGCTTGCGGTTGATACGGGGCGCGCGGCTGTTGCTGCTTAGGCGTGCTCCAAACGGGACCATCCGAACGGTGCAACCGGACGATTTCGCTACCCGCTGCCATACTTACGTGGGAGTGTACGGCAGCAGTAAGTGTTTGCCCGTGTGAATGTCACTGACCTCGTACTTTGTATCATTTTGTTAGCTGCAGTTAATATTCTGTCCTTGTTTGTGCTCACCCTGTCATTATAAAGCAGCCTGTACTTTCTGTCACCGTTACTCCTTTCTCTGTGCTTTGTGGTTTTGTCACAGGGTTGAAGGGCATAGAGTGGCACCTTCTTGGCGGCCACCCTTTTTCCAGCCCTGCCTTCATGGCGTGTGCGCGCCTGTTTGCGACAGAGGCTGCACCAGGCGCCCTACTGCCGCTCTATGCATCGCAGCTGCTCCTCATTCTTGCAGTTGTAAGTCTTATTGCATCTGTTACAGCATTTCTTCAAAACTTTTGTGTGATCTTACAGCCCTCTTTTGTGTTGTCCATTGTATGCAGGTTCGTTTTAGGCTACGTCACCCCACTTGCAACAAGCTTCAACTTGGTCGCTCTGGTGATTCTCTCGCCATTTCCAGGCAAGCACGCATTGTGCAGCGCTATATCAATAGCATGGGTGTGCCTCAGGGTGAGTTCATTGGCATTGGGCGCATTTGTTTGGCGCAGTGGGTGACCATCCCCCAGGAGGCTCTGGATGCGGATGTCCTGGGGGATGAGGATGCGGAGGATGAGTTAGATGAGGATGGGGTGGTAGATGATGAGTCTGGGGATGAGGATGCTTCTTGAATGCTATATTTTGTATGCATGCAGTTTTATTAGTGTAGGTTTCAATTAATGATGCTGAACCTATTAATAGGTGTTTTAGGAAAAACCTGCTTACTACTGTATTGGCCAGTTTAAACGGATTGTTGTAATTTGGCTTTTTTCGATTTCATAGCATGCAATGTAATCTGGTAACAATTGCTACCGATATACCCGGTAACATGTAACCCGATTTGCAGTGTACCCAGGTAACTAGGTTATCGATGTATCGTAGCCCAGGATTTTGTAACCTTGTTGGCCATGCGGTAACCACTGGGCAACTGTATTGCCGCCTCGGCTGCAAAAGTGATCCGTTGTAAGCAAACCTGACTTTGTGGACAAGAAAACTTTGCCTAAACGATGATCACGCACAATTTGTTTCGGGGGTTTTTATTATACAGTGTCGAGTCACTTTATGGCGAGCAGTCACACTTCGATTTACTCGCAAATGTTTTGCAGCATTCGGAATCTCTGGATCCGCGAACAAAACATTGTACCGAACCCCATTCCGCATTTCGTTGTGTACAGTTCTTTCGCACTTTGGCAAATGGCGAGTTCGATTGTGAAGGGAAACCAGGGGTTGGGAACAGGGCTGACGTTTCAAATTAGGCCTCCCTGAATCCGGGAAAAAAGTTCCCCCTGTATTATGGGTGCACATTTTTCAGAAAAACATCACCCTGATTGCTCAGTGTTGGGAAGTTATGTAGTCTGATTGCTCAGGGTTGAGAAGTCAGGATCAGGGTTAGTAACGCGCTGTGCATTATCGAAACTTGGCATGGTTCGGATATTTAGAAGATCTTGTGTGGATTTGATGACCAATCAAATTGGACGACCGTTCGTTCTTCAGATTTCTGGTTGCACATTGTATGTGACTGGTGATTTAGACCCGAGTTGACTGGTCACATCACAACACCAGCGTCATACTGTAGCAAATTCGCGTTGACAAAGTGCATTCGCGCCGTACAGTACAGAGCAACAGATTCGCCCGATCACAGAGAAATGGCCCTGGCACAACAGCCGCTGTCAGAGCACAACCATTTCGACCAATCACAGCAACATATATCTGGCATTGCAGATTCGGCCGATCTCAATGGTGGGTGGGTGTATCTAGACGAAATTTCTGAGAAGTTTCGTTTCGATAAAGTGGGGCAAGGGGGATTCCGCACCTGGGGGGTGCTGCGATGCGATCAATCCGAAGGCGAGGTTATCGAGAGGAAATTTCGAAGAAACTTCCTCTCGATAATGTCTCATTCGCGGGGTCCACAGAACTCGTACTCTGTAATGACAGAGTCCGTAAGAAGACTACTCTGAACGTGTATACAAAATTTCAGGGCCTGCTAAAGCGTTAGTCTGAATGGATCAGTGTTCACAAGGCGTAAATTCTGAAATTGCAGGGACCACAAGGTGAGAAGTCTGAAATCACCCTGAAATCAAGGTAATTATCCTGATAAAATCAGCCCTGGTTGGGAATGATGCCGCGTGGGATGACGAATTCAACCTGCAGGTGACACGCTGTAATTGTTGATTGCAATACGCCAATCCCTGGCATCGGGAAATTTTCCCCAGCGATGTCTATCAAACCTCAAGTCAATGGATGGCATGACGTTTTACACACAGGTACACGTTCTGATGCTATTGTGCCACCATTTCTATAGGAATATTCGGAGCTACCAGGTACATTATTTGCAGCATATTGGCAAAGAATAAAGCTGAAGCGGTTTCGGATCCCATTTGCGGCTAAGTCTGAGATGTAATGCTGTAAGAGGCGTTAATGCTTTTCTACAAATGGGTCTTGTACATCATCTCTATCGGAGCTTCTATTCGGCGTACGCTGCTTCAGTGGCCCAGACAACGGCTGCCTGTTCAAGCCGCGAATTCAAATGAATTGTTCCCGCCCACAAAAAACCAAACGTAGGCCCCCCACTGAGCCACCGAACCAGAAGAAATTCCCCTTGCTGCCGGGGTGCGTGCGAAGCGCTGGACCAGGGGCGAAATGTTTAGGGGGTGTCCAGTTCGTTCATTTCGGGGTTTTTAGTGCCAACACACGTCTCGAGGTTCAAAAATATTCACTGTACCTAAAAACGAATGCATTGTGAGTTGAGTCCCACCTACATGTAATTTCAGGAGCGCGGACACGTTCTCCGCCACACGAATCAACAGTGCTCTGATCGCGTTCAAAACGAGGTAACTGTTTCCGTCGTCAATCATAGCTAACGAATTTTTGGGCAGGCGGGGGGTGTGTTGACGAGTGTAGCGAGCTACTGGCGAAATTGTGCAAGCGATACAGGGGGCGCTACTGTAGTGGCCAGGACGCGGTGCTGTACCCTTGTTCGTGTCCCCGCTGATTCCAGTAACGTGAGTCAGTCGACATGAGGTACGTGCAGGGGGCGTGCCGTTTTGTGAACGAAAGCTGATTGTGTCCGCAGGACACGTTCAATACAGTGTTACAACAAAAAATGTGGTAACTAAGCGGGCTTACGAACAGTAAATGTACGAGCTGGACACCCCCTTTGCGAAATAAATGCCTGCTTCATGGAGGTCCAACCTGAGGACTCAAGAAGGAATCCTCAGGACTTCCTCTAAACATTGTCATTCTGAATTTGAAATTTGAGAAGGCCTTCATAGAGAATCCTCTATTTCCTAGCTTAGTAGACTCTGGTGTTCACTTTAGTTTTACTAGCCCGTCGCTCTTCGTATTCCGTCAGTCGTCGTAGATTGAAACCAAGCCTGTCAGCCATAGTCGCCATGAAGACGACGCAGACGGTGCTACTGCTGTTGTCAGTGTTCCTCCCATCGGCAATCTCCGTTCCCACGCCGTTGACATGTCCTCTAACAGGAAAACCGCCTAGCGTTCCGAAGATTCCGTCCGCTCGCTGTCTCGATGCAGCAAAATCGTCGTGCTGCCAGGACTGCAGCGACTTCAGCTACGCGCTGAACCTCCTCACAGCAGACGTGACTAAGCTTGTCAGCGACATGAATCCAGAATACGCGAAATTCGTGCCTGAAGGCACCGAAATTCAGGTACTTGGGCTCTGAGCGACACAGAGGGACTGTCATGGTCGTGACGCAGTGAGTACTAGCAACATGTCACGCTAATGCTTGGTTTACCTGGTGATTCTGTCTTGCAGTTCTGCAGCATGTTTCAGGGGAAGGAGACTTGTTCATTACTGGTGGAAAGCTTGATTTGTGCTATAACCTGCAATCCAGGTACGATACATTCGTGAACACGTATAATGATAAAAGAAAGGTTCGCAATCTTTCAGATTACCTGTACCATTCTCTCCGAGCACGACAATAAGTTCATTATGTCTCCTGCTTTTTCGCCTGACACCACTTCTCTCAGGTTCCTGCAACTATGTGACATCAAACAATGGAGCTGTAACGGTTACAGTCTGCGAAACAACGGCGAACCGAGTCTACGACGCCTGCTCCGGACTTACGTGTAAGTCTCCTCTGATTACATCCTCTCGTGCCGAATGCAGAGCGGTAACGAAGCTTTTGCTCGATCCAGATACAGCCCGGTCGCTACTTGGCTGGCCTGTGTAATGTACATGCATATTTTACCCTCCTCGTGCGAGTATGCCCGTTTCTTTGGATCAGTGGCGTGCTCAAGCATCAGATGTTCCTCGTTTGCAGAGATCCTGGTCCCGTGATATTGACGGGCTGTTCAATCTGTTCCTAACCTCCCCAACATTCTTTTCAGACAACAACTTTCCGCTAAGCTCACTGATCAAGGACGCGGGAGGGTTCATGTCAGGAGCCATGACAAGCATCGTGAAGATGGCAACAGGGCTCAAAGACGTGACCATCAACGTCGACAAGGTGGGTAGCATCACTGCTTCGAACCGTTATGAAATTAGCTGGTGTTTCTTTTCAGTTTTATTGAATGCTTGCAATCCCGAAAAATCTGACAGTGCTGATGGGTATGACCATCAGTATTGACCAGACTAGAGCCGGTCGTCTTTAAACTGGCTCTACCTAATTCTAGGGCCCTTTCGTATCTTTTCTACCTGATGGTCTAGCTCGTCTCGAGGCTTCTGCTACTTCTCTGCACCAGCTTTTTGAGACACACCAGCATCCAGGGGTGCCAGTATCACTCCACGGGATCAGAGTGTTAAGTGTTCTCCTATTCTCAAATAACCTGTGCACCTTATCTTATTCTACTCCCCCTGTCTCCAGACAAATGGCAAGTGTTACAGTGGTCCCAAGGCGCTTCCAGAGTCCACCTCTTGCTGCGACAACATGACTGTGCATGGAAACTGCCCTGCTGGCGTGGTTGACGCCAACCAGTTCAGCCAGTCACTTGGGAAGATTAAGAGCACTGCATCGTGTGGAAATGCTACAGCGCAGAGCACCCAGGCTGCATCCCCACCACCGCCTCCAAAGAGTGCTAATGTTGCCACTGTTTCCCTTGTGACGCTAGTGTGCATGCTTGCAGGCATGATGCTGATTTGAAGACGTTCCACTAGCTCGATGAACACAGTAGAGTCGGCAGTTTGATTGGCTGTTGCTTGCAACTTAACTTAATGCAATTTTCAGACAGCACCTTCCACAACTCCATTTGCCCGTTCCATGAGCATGTTTGCTCTTACCTCCCATGCAGCTTGGGTCCCCTTAAAGCTCGCGTCTCATATTTATGACATCCAACCAAGTGTTAAACGGTTGGAATCCGGTAACAGCAGAGTTTGTCGCACAGCACACCAAGGAAAGGGGTGGTTGGTAAGGTTGGTTGGGAAATCGCGTCGCACACTTCCCCGCGAACACCAAGCATTTACAATCTCGGAAATTTGAGACTCTGAACTCTCAACTCTGACAGTAAGCGGGGCCAAACCTGTCCCCCAAGGCTCGTCTTCCACCCAAACCTGCACACCCTGGTTTGTTTTGGCCAAACCTGTTTGGGAGTTCGCTGTGTTTTTTTCACCCGCTCGTCACATATTTCGTCATTCGTTACCCAATCAAATAGGGGCAAACCCAACCAAGTGTTA